CAACAGTCCACTTCAGAGAACTCAACCCTATCAAAATTATCCTTTTAAGCTACAAAGATTCTCCATCATCTCAAGATCTCACTAAAGGACAGATACATTCGAAGCCGTATCAAAGGGCTGAATAAATGTTACCTACAGAAAATACCAATTATTTCGATTTTATCTAAATGATACTGTTCAAAGTAAGAAAATTAACTTATCACCTCCTACTTAGTTATTTGCCTGTCTTCCACTTAACTCATAGCTTATTAATATTCAGTGATGAGGAATCATATACAACGACGAAATAATTGTCCACTCCTTCCAGATTTTCAGTGCTTTTCCAACTGATTTCAATTCTTGTTAAATGCCATCATGGGGAAGTTCCTTTTACATGTTTGTTCTAATCGTTTCATGTTTTGTTGCTTTTCATTGAGGAATTAAATCAAAATATCCTTTTGTAGAGTTGTACGTTATTCTAATTGTCTGCTTATATATTACTGCCTATACTTTTCGATAAAATAACCATCTAAAACAATAGCTAAGTTTTCAAATACCAGAGTTTTAAAGTTGGAACACATTTTACACAATAGTCGACGTTTTCAAGTGAAACCATATTCAAATGATATATAAAACAAAACAAAACTATTACAACTTCCCACGGTAAATCCTTTTATGTACATGATTTAAAGATGATTGTATTATTGAAGCTACTAGGTCACGAATCGTTATTGAAGTTTCATTTGATATCCCTTCACTAAAATTAAATCATGCATAGTAATAAGCTTAAAGCAGAACAGTTAAAGTAACTTGTATGCCAACATTTACATAATTAATAACAATAATAATAATATTATAATTCTTGTTGCATGTGAATAGCCTAAATTCTTGGCATATATAAATTCAATAGTGAATTTACCTGTAACATAGAAAGTGAGCTAGCAGTGTTGTGTAACAAGATTAGAAAATATAAGATAAAAGTTTAGAGACTAACGGCTATAAGAAACTATTCTATTCGAATCGTTACTTAGACTTCAAAGCTTCTCATCGCATCTAAGTTAAAGTAGGTTTATTTAAACACCTAAATGATAGGGTGGTAAAGCTTATTAGTAGACCAGAAAATCTACAAAAATTAGGAACATCGAGAATACCTTACGTCTCAATAATTACCCATCTAAATTTATAAATAAATTCATAAGAAATCGAAAGAAAGATATTAGGAGTAGTAGTATCAGTAGTATAAGTAGTAGGAATACAGGTATTAACAATAATAATAATAATAATCCTATTATTATTACTAATAGTGGTGACAATGTTGAGAGAGAATTCAATGCATCTGTTGTGTTATCATACAAGGAAGGCACCGAAGAAGTATTACGAAGAATTCTCAATTACGCTGGGAGTACAATGGCATTTAAACCAACAAACTTGCTTTATAGATTAAACGATCCTATTGATGAAATTATGTAAAATAATCTGGTTTATCAAATCCCTTGCAATGATTGTGAGGTGAAATACATCGGACAAACTAGTTGATTAGAATAGTAGAGAACAAAAATTCAGTTAAATCAAGCTTAGTAGATCCTAATAATGAGATTGAAGTGAAATAAAACTCTGGTTCAGCAGTTGGACCTCAGAGGTCAGCTGGTAGAGCACCGGGTCGGTAACCCGGTGGTCGCTGGTTCGAATCGGGTCATGGTTCAGATTCTCATTTCACCTTCAATCACCACCCAGTATAGACCCTAACAAGATAAGAAATTTAGAAAATAGCTCGACTATAACGATGCACGTAGTCACACACAATCATACAGTAGGGTGGGATAGAGGGAGAGATTGATAACCGAATCTTTGTTTGTCGAACTAACACCAAATATATGCAATCGAAATGATTCTGACCCTTTCCTAGACATATGGGAAATTCTACTACCTTTGTCATCACACAGTACGAGGTGAAATTAGGACTATATAAACTCTGTCTCAAAGCTGTGCAGTTGGTTACCTGATATGAATTTGGATAATAAATTGTGTCCAAAACGTCATCTAGTAAATGATACTTTTTTTCCAATGTATGGCATTTTTAATAGACGAACAAAAATGGAATAACAATAGACCATAGTTTTCAGTATAATTGTTTTTATATCATACCGTCATTGATTGGACCGAATTGATCGGTCTCTATTGGCATATGGGCTCCTGTGCGGATGCGTCGATATTGCCAGTGTTCTAATTATGTTAATGATGGATAGTGGTTAGCAGTGGAATCCAGGATGCGCATTTCGTCCTATTTGGGACTCACCAGCTGGATGTACCTGCTTCCCAGTGACTCCCGTGCAACCAATTTCATGTTGTCTAGTCATGACTGCAGACCGAATTCTATCGATCATATTTGCAACGTGTCAACCAAGCTAGAAAGCTGAGCATCGTAGTACACATTAGTAGATGTTAGTTGGTTGGAGGCAATCGGCACGAAGCCCTGCTCAACCTAGGTTTCGTGCTTTTACGCACTCGTCAGCAAGGCGTATCCACAACCTCGACGGAACTGATGTCCCACCTGAGATTTGAACCCCCTTCTCCAACTAACTAACTAACTAACATCTACTAATGTGTACCACGATGCTGAGCTTCTAGCTTGGTGACACATTGCAAATATGATGGATGGGATTTGGTCTACACTCAGTACTAGACAACATGGCTTCCTGCCAATTGCCTCCAATCAACTAACAAAACAGCACTTTATTTACGATCGATAAGTCTGTTTTACATAAGAAATAAAGATATCTAGATTTTGGATAGGTTTAACATTTTTGAAACTATGCCACTGTCTTCATCGTCAGTAATCCATATGAGACAAATATCATTTAAATGATATCAGTGAAGTTTCCCCTCGTGACCCTGTTAAAGTTATTAAGAACCTTCTAAGATAAGTCCACGTATTTTCGATGTTGTTCACATGTAATTCAGTTTTCCGATCAACGAAGTGCATTTCATGAACAGTAACTTGATGAGACTAGCGCATTTCAGATAGAGTCATATATAACTTCCAAACATCTCTGTATATTATGGTACACAGTGTTATGAATTTCTGCATAACTGTTAGAATAGATTGTTTTGATGTATCCTCTATCGAATAGAAACATCATTTCTTCGTATTTTGGTCGTATATACCAAGAATCTGTTGTTTGGCAAGCCGCATGTATGTATATTGAGTTAAGTTATAACTTACCCAGTTCTGTTTAAGTCAGCTTCCTAGGTTATAGTTAAGTTTTCAACCAAGACATTCAGCTGTTTTACATACAACCTGTAACATAATCTTCATCATAATTCATCCAAGATTTATGAAGTCGTAACAACACAGTAAACGGATGTAATGAATACTTTGAATAAATCACTTCTAATCGTGATTTGTTTTACACAAGGTTACTACCATTTAACTATTGAGATATTAAGTGTTAAATTTTGCTGTAGAGAAGTGAAATCTATACAGTTATCGGATACATTAATGTTCTTAAAAAGATTATATTTCTTTGAGAGTAAAATATATGACGTTTTGAACTGAACCATTTCCCCTTTCAATTATATCGATGACAAACAGGATATTGTACTAGATAAGCGTTATGTATACATGCGGGAATGTATAAGGTCACCCTAATGTAACCTTATTTAACTTCAAAAGTCTCATTTTACAAACTATAATAATCATTTGTACAATAAAAGCAGAGTAAATCATGTGCAGACCAAATTATAATGCTTCGCGTCATCATAGAACAGAGCATTGAGTTGCAGTCAACCCTCTACCTCAACTTCATCGACTTTGAGAAGGCCATTGATAGCATCGACCGACAAGTAATTTGGCAACTGCTTCAACACTACGGAATACCACAAACTTTTCTCAACCTCATTCAACAACTATATGAAGACGCCACATGCGAAGTGATTCACAATGGGAAGCTTAGTGATGCCTTTCAAGTGAAGTGAAGACAGGAGTGAAACAAGGCTGTCTACAATCACCTATGATCTTCCTGATTGTGGCGGACTGGATCATGCAACAAATAGTGAGGAGTGAGAAGACGAGGATACGCTGGGCCACGGAAAAGAACCAGAAGATTTGGATTTTGCTGATGACTTGTGTCTAATGTCACACAAACTTGAAGATCTACAGGCGAAAACTAACAAGTTGACAGAAGAGGCGGGGCAGTGCAGCGAAGACGGGATTTCAAGGGAACGTAGAGAAGACAGAAGTGATGAAGATACCCAACCAACGACACCATCAACAACAACAAGCTCCAAGCACCATCAATGGGAGAAACTTAAAGGAAGTAGTTTCTTTCACCTATCTAGGCAGCACCATTTCAACTACAGGCAGCACAGACGAGGACGTCAAAGCAGCCAGGATTGGAAAAGCAAGACAAGCAGGCGTTCATTAACCTGAAACCAGTGTGGAGATCTTCTACACTCCGCATAAAGTGTGGACAACATCCGGATTTTCAACAACAACTCAGTCAAGTCAGTGCTTCTATGTGATGGTTGAGAAACTTGGTGCATTACTAAAGTGATTTCCAACAAAGTACAGACATTGTTGAACAACTGCCGCCTACGCTGGCTCGTTACTGAACATAGATCAGATGGCCAGACTAATAAGAATAAGCAACTAGGAACTGTGGCTGGCTGTCAACGAACCGACCAACAACCTATCGCTGAACAAATATGCACTGTAAGGAAGTGGAGGTGGATTGTATTGGGCATACACTGAGAAGGCTGACTGAGGAGATCAGGCGCCAGGCCCTCAAATGGAACCCTCATGGGAAGCGACGAGTTGGACGTCGGAGGGTGACATGGAGGAGATCGTGCGAGGAGTAAATGAGAGCTTGTGGGCTGTCGTGGAGCCAAGTTTAAAAGATTGCAGAGAAGAGAGTGGAATTGAGACATGCTACTGAAGCCTTATGTCCCATTAGGAACCCAATGGACAAACAATAATAATAAAATATACAATATATGGACTTAGGAAATATCAATAAATTTACCGCATTATATCACAATAAAGTGGATCACTTCTGAAGCTTTTATCATTAATAATATCAGTTTTTATCCTGTTAACATTAAGTTTTTGTACTTCATTCAGAGCTGTTTCAATAACTGAATCAACAAATGGTTTTATTATGTTAGCTGCTTCATTTGAAGTTTCATTTTGATACATTTTTCCCTTTCTATCTTCAAATAAATCCTGAAGAAGAAAAGAAACCTTGTGTATAGAAAAGCGAAACAGATCATCTTTTCTTTCAACTAAAATATGAAAAACTTGAAGATTCCATGTTCGATTCCTGACAGCGTTATGGGTGCACACTGCTGAGGAGTGACATCCTAAGGACGAAACAGCTTTCCCATGCTCTCAGGTTTTCATTAGTTCTCCAACTGATATCAGTCCATGGTGAATACTTACTTCAAAGAATATACATCATAAATGCTGAAACTGCAGGAGTGGGGAAACAATCCTATTATATAACTAAGCTTATTTCATCATGCATCCAACCAATTGGAAATCATTTTTCAACAAAACAGACGATTTATTGCCTTGTCATTAAATGTGAAGAGAAAAAAAGGTAGATGTTTCCTTTTATTTATTTATAATTCAAATTAGTTGAGAAAGTAATGCAACTGATTACGTAACAAGTTGATCATCACAACTACGCACTAGATAATATCAGATAAAAAGAACGATAATAGGGTTTTTTAATCTTCTATAATTATAGCGCATATTATTCAAAATAGCAAACTGATGTATATTCCATTGTTCAATGGCTACTTCATGATTTTTTTTTCTTTCTGTTGATACTTTCTAAACTTCCATGGTTTATTTCGATATCTGAAAGAGACAAGTCAAACTTGTAATCAATGTCACTTACAGGAGCGTATTATTGAAAAATATAAATAAAATAAGCAAACAAAGTGAAACATAGCTCTTTTATGAAACATTATACATGATATTACAAAGTATCCTGACTAACAATGAACCGGATGATTTGGAAAAACTTGGACACCGACTTAGTATGATTCATCATATAAGGCGTATTTTACTTGTGTACAATTCCAGCTTAGTATGCTCATAGGTTGATGATAAGAAAATTACTTTCTATCTTTAAAAGACGCTTGACTGAATAAAGAAGATTCCTTTCAATAACTACTACTACTTGAGGTCCAACAGTTATATCGCACAGTTGGAGAATTCTCTTTCAAGGATTCTTATGTGAATGAATGAAACTCAATTCATAATAATTGATCATACAAACGATCATCTGATTGCAACTTCAATCCAACAATTTTAATCTATTTATCTGAAGTTGTATTATTAACCAGATAACGTTTTGGATATCATTTCTTATCATTTTGTTCATCTCAGATAGCTATGATCTCGCAGATTTGTGTACGATGATTGAAAAAGAAATGAAAATTTGGGCTATGGAAGTCGAGTTTCATAGCCTAAGTGGTAGGGCACAGCCACATCGAATCCGACTGCAGTCCAGATTTTTATTTTATCCTAAATCATCACCCATAATGCATAATTTACTGCCCATATTCATATCAAGTAAATAACTTCACAATTTTCAAAAATGATTTAGATTGAAGTCTATCAATCTAGATTCACTTACGCTTTCGCGCTCAAACAGTTTGATTGGCCATGGTCGACCATTTTGGCCTATTTATTACTCTTTTATTCCATGGCTTTTCATCAGCTGCAAACAGACTGCAGTTGAAATCAATTATCACCAGTAATAATGGAATAACACACTTCAAACACGCAAAAATAAATAGAGATTTGAAATCTAGGATTAACAATAGAGTAGTGAATTAGTCAAGGAAACACAGGAGTAATAGTGACATATCTTAGTCAAAACCTAAAACTATTTATATGTGATGAGATAGAAAATTCTGGAGCTGTGGAGTGGGGGAATAACAAACGAAAATCAGTGTAAAAGAAGGGACTGTTTAAGGGCTAATAGGTCACGTAATTACATGAAAAACTTGAAAATCGTTAAGCGATTAATATTCAGCAAGTAATTAATGAAGAGATGATGCAATCAGAAGAAAAGGGAAGACTGTACACATAAACATGCAAAAAACTATATACATTTACCAAGGTGAAAGAAAGGTTAATTACAGTCACTTTCTGAGAACATGGGTCAGGTTGAAAATGTTTGATAGCGAGAGCTTCCGCAAACCGTAACATACATGGTGTTTTTTTGTTTGTTGATTATTGTGAAAGATTGAGAAACATCGATTTGATGTCCTGTTTTCATCAGTTGCCTGGTGATTGAGCTATTAAACACCTTTCTACGACTATTCTTCATGTGCGGCCTTCCAAAAATCCATAAGTCCAGACCATATTGTCCATGATAAATTCACCTCATCATAAATTCGCTCTTTAGTTAGCAAAAGATTGGAACCCATCAGAGAAACTCTCGCAAATCACAGCTAGAAGGATATATTCCCACTCTCTGAAGAACTGGATAGATTAGATATCTCAGATAAATTCATGGTATCATTTGATGTTTCCCCATTGTTTACGAACATACCAGTGAATGAAACGATAGACATAACCTGTCAAAAGTCTGATCTACTACCATTGCTGAAAACAGAATTTAAACAAGTACTGCTCTTCTGTACAAAAGGTGCCCAGTTCCAGTTTAATAATCGACCATAATGTGAAAGTGATGGAGTGGCTATGGGTTCACCACTAGGACCTATCCTAGCTGATGTATTCATGGCTCATCTCAATCGAACAAGTCTGAACGCTGCGATCAAGGAAACGCCACATTACTGCAGGTATGTCGATGATACTTTCATCGTTTGTGATAATGTGAATCATGAGTCCAAGCTGTTCGACACCTTCAATCAAGCTCATCCAAATATTAATGTTACAACGGAATGTGAAAATGAGGACAGATTCAAATGTTTTGGACCTAAGGATAAGACGGAGATGTGATGGTACAGTTGAAGAAACTATCCACAGAAAAGATAAGTGGTCAGTGCCTTCACTACTATAGCTTATTTCCTGTCAGCTATAAGCGTCGTTTAGTCAGGACGCCATTAACTAGAATAAAAAGACTATGCTGTGAAGATAGACAAGAAGAGGAATTTCGGGATGATTGAGAAAGCTCTTATAGAGAATGGATATCTGAAGAAATCTTGAAGAATGGAAAAAATCTTATTGAGACCAAAACATCCAACTGTTGATAAGAAGCCTGTTTTCCTTCGCTTAGCACTCAAAGGTGACGAGACATCTGAAAGAATAGACAGAAGAATAAAAGCTGCACTGGAAAGAAGCTTCCCTACTGCCAAAATGTTCTCAGTTTACAATGTATTATGCACAATAACAGTCGAAAGTAGACAAATACCCATCTCACGTTATCTGCAACTGCGTAATTCAGTTCACTTGTGCTTGTAAAAGCAAGTACATACGATGGACTGAAAGAAGGGCGTCTACTCAATTTTATGAGAATATTCCAAGAAATTCGTGTCTAAATGGTAGAAAGGTGTTTAATAGCTCAATCGCCAGGCAACTGATGAAAACAGGACATCAAATCGATGTTTCTCAATCTTTCACAATAATCAACAAACAAAAAAACACCATGTATGTTACGGTTTGCGGAAGCTCTCGCTATCAAACATTTTCAACCTGACCCATGTTCTCAGAAAGTGACTGTAATTAACCTTTCTTTCACCTTGGTAAATGTATATAGTTTTTTGCATGTTTATGTGTACAGTCTTCCCTTTTCTTCTGATTGCATCATCTCTTCATTAATTACTTGCTGAATATTAATCGCTTAACGATTTTCAAGTTTTTCATGTAATTACGTGACCTATTAGCCCTTAAACAGTCCCTTCTTTTACACTGATTTTCGTTTGTTATTCCCCCACTCCACAGCTCCAGAATTTTCTATCTCATCACATATAAATAGTTTTAGGTTTTGACTAAGATATGTCACTATTACTCCTGTGTTTCCTTGACTAATTCACTACTCTATTGTTAATCCTAGATTTCAAATCTCTATTTATTTTTGCGTGTTTGAAGTGTGTTATTCCATTATTACTAGTGATAATTGATTTCAACTGCAGTCTGTTTGCGGTTGATGAAAGGCCATGAAATAAAATGAGTTCATTTTATCCTACAAATGTCTTTGATCTTGCATTATTCAAATTTGTCAAGGTAACTAAATGTATTGTTTACCCACCTAAATTTACCAATAAATTCATCAGAAATCGAATGAAAAATATTGGCAGTACCAGTAATGGTAGTAATCCAGGTGTTATTAAAATAATAATTCTACTACTAATGGTAATAATAGTGACATGGTTGAGAGAATCCGAAGCGCCTACTGTGTTACCGTACGAGAAGGGTACCTCAGAAGTGTCACGAATATTTCTCAGTAAGGTTGGCTGGGATTTAAGTGACATTTAAACCAACAAACGCGTTTAGAAACAAGCTTTGTAGGTTAAAAGATCCTATCGATGAAATTGTGTAAAATAATCTGGCTTACCAAATATTTTGCAATCATTGCGCTATCAAATACCTAAGTCAAAGTAGTCGACCAGGGTCAATAGGCTGTTCGAGCGCAAAGGCTTAACTTAATCAAGATTAGCAGATTTCAATAAGATGAGAAATCTAGAGGAATGTTCAGTTATAGGGATAGAGTGACCGTATTGAAAATTACCGTAGTTGGGTCGAGTGATGGAGAGATTGATTGATAACCGAATCTTTGTTTATCTAACCAACACCTAATACATGCAGTAATAGGAATAATTGTGCACCTGTTCCGGATATATGGAAAATGCTACTACCCTCATCATAAAGAAGGAGATAAAATTAAGACTATATAAACTATGGTAAATTGGTTGGTTGTGGCTGGCAGGAGAATCCAGGACGCTCGTCTCGTCCTATTTGGGACTCATCAGATGGATGTACCTGGACCCCAGTGATGTTGTTCCCACTGGGACTCGAATCTCGTACCCATCGCTTCAAACTCTAAGGCGTTATCCACTATGCCACGGAGGAACGAAGGACACTTCTTCTACAACATTTAGTATTTATTTCTGTTTATTGACAAACTTCTTATTCTCCGTTATTTTATTGGATCGAATTGTTCGACCTCTATTGGCATATGGGCTCCTATGTGGATACCTCGATATTGCCTGAATATTAATTATGATAAATTGGTTGGTTGTGGCTAGCAGAAGGTCGAACAATTCTATCCAACAAAACAACGGAGTATAACAAGTATGTCAGTAAATAGTAATGTATAAACTATGTTTCAAATTTGTGGAGTTACTTACCTGGTATGAAAATGGACAATAAATTATGTCGGAAAAGTTATTCAGTGAATAATACTGTTCCTTCACTGTATGGCAAGGGTTGTGGGTGCGCACTGCTGAGGAGTCCCATACTAGGACGAAACAGCTGTCCAGTGCTCCCAGGTTTCCTTTGTTCCTCCAACTGATGTCAGTTTACGATGAATAACAACTTGAAATATTTCTAAATCTCCACAACTCCCCCAAAATTCTAATAAACAAAGTGGGATTACAATCTACCATAGTGCTCAAGTTTTACTCCTATATTAATCGATCCAGGTACCGTTTCTTAAGCATCCCGAGAGTAAAATAATCCCCTACACGTCAAAAGTGACTGATAACCTACTTTTAGTCACGTCTAGGAAAACAGATCGCAGTAATGTGCAATTAGTAGCCGAGCAACGAGAAAGGTACACAATCATACAGTCGATACAGAAACTCCCAGGTAACTCTGGTTACGAAATCAATGGATTAAAATGAAGGCATGATAAAGTCAAAACAATCGTCAGTTAACGGGGG